GCTCTCAGCTGATTCATGTTCTTCCTTTTATACAGCAATGCATTCAGGTCGTGGAGACAAGCAACTATGTTAAGGCAAACAGTAGCAAGTGACAGAAGAGGGGAGGCAATGGCCTAATGCTATTATTGCTGGACTATTAATCCAGAGACCCAGGTAATGTTCTGAGGACCTGGGTTCAAATCCTGCCATGGCAGATTAATTCAATAAAAATCTGGAATTAATAGTCTAAAGATGAGTGTGAATCCATTGCTGGTTGTCAGAATAACCCATCTGATTCACTAATGTCCTTTAGGGAAGGAAACTGCCGTCCTTATCTGGTATAGTCTACATATGACTCCAGACCCACAGTGAAATGATTGACTCTTAACTGCCATCTGGGAAATTGGGGATGGGCAATAAATGCTGACCTAGCAAGTGATGCCCTCATCCCATGAATGAATTACAAGCAAACTGGGAGAAACTGGATCTAGTCACTAGTTGATTCCATTGTGTGGGGTGGCACGGTGGCTCAGTGGTTAGCACTGCTCCTCATAGTGCCAGGGACCTGGGTTCAATATCACCCTTGAGTGATTGTCTGTGTGGAGTTTACACATTCTCTGGTTTCCTCCCATAGTCCAAAGATGTGCAGGTTAGATTGGCTATGCTAAAAGTGTCCAGGGATGTGTAGGCTAGGTAGATTGTCCATGGGAAATGTGGGATCGCAGGGATGGAATGGGGGTGAGTGGGATGCTCTTCGGGGGATCAGTGTGGACTTGATGGGCCGAATGGTCTCTTCCACATTGTAGTAAATCTATGATTCTATTTCTCATTCAGCCCCATGTGTATGAACAGCAGTGCGCAGGACCATAAAGCAATGAAGGGAAGGTCAGTGGGATATTCTGTCGAGAGTGTTGGAATACAAAGGGAAGAAGGTTGGTTTAGTTACAGGCTCAGTGTGGGCACCTGCCACACCTCAGTAAGCATGTAGAACCTGTGAAGGTTATACTGACACTGAAACAGTCTGGACAGGTTTATGAACATGGCCTTTATTCCGCAGAGGTTGAGGAATGAGATCATTATGGCAGTTCAGTAGAGAAAAATTCCCTCTTGGTGTGACAGTGGAGAAATGAGGGACACAATCATAAAAACTTTTATCACCCCTTTAACATAATGCAATGTCTCGAGGCACTTCAGAGCAGCATCATAAAACAAAATTAAATAACTCTACTGAGGCCACACGAACTGTCCTTCACTATTGTACTGCCTCATTCAGAGTCAGGTACCAGAGTGTCAGTATCCCTGACACTCACCCTTTTCTGTCAGCCAGGGTTCCCCGATTGGACCAGATTAACAGCCCCAATCAGGGAACTCATATTCTCTGAGGTCCACCTGGCTGACCTTGTTACAGTCACTACAAGGGAAAATACAAAATGTCAGAACTGATATCTTCAGGACCGTAAGGCTGGAGGAGATGAGAGAGATAGGAAGGAGGGGGGTTGAGCTGAAGGAAGAATTAGCATACACGGATGAGACTTTCAAAATCATGTCATTGCTTGAGCAGGGGTCATAAAATCATACAGTTTTTACATTATAGCAAGAGGCCCTTTGGCCCATTGTGTCTGTGCCAATCACCAAACATTCAGCTATTCTAAACCCTGTTCCCAGCACTTGGTCCATAACCTTTTATATTTTATATTATTTCAAGTTTCATCTAAAAAATTCTTAAAACAAGCTTTCCTGCCTCTACTGCCCTTTTTGGCAGTGAGTTCCTATATGCCCGCAACTCTCGGGGACAAAACATTTTTCCTCAAATCCATTGAAACCTGCTGCTCCTCACCTTAAAACCTGTGCTCCTTTACTGAAGGGGAAGTGTGAATCGACAAGAACAGGAAGATGGGACCTGGTGACAATTAATTCATTGTGAGTGATTCTCTGGCTGTGTGTTAAGGATGAAAGAAGGCCATAGAGGGCAGTTCCATCCATCTGCATGGAAGCTGAGTGGCACTGGAACACGAATGTGTGATTAAATGTGTCAAACAGTGGAGATGGGTCCAGATGGAATAGAACAAAGAGGGAAAGCTTACCTTTGTCACAGTCAGAGTGGAAAATGACAGACTAATATCTGAGAACAAATGCATGCGGAGACAATAAGAGCTATTGAGAAGGAGATTGGTAGATTATCTTATGAAGAAAATTGTTGCTAAAGTCAGCAAATGGCGATGAGGTATCTTTCAGCCAAGATCTAATTGAATCTGATTAGATCCCAAGGGACTAGATTTACTTACTGTCTGAAATCTAAAATGCATTAATAATTCAGAAGCTCGTCTCAATGAGTGTTTTAGTGAGTCTTTCGAGCTGAAGCTCACTAATAAACCAAAACACTGCAGGTGCTGGAAAGCTGCAAATAAAACCAGAAAGTGCTGGAGAAACTCAGCAGGTCTGGCAGCATCTCTGGAGAGAGAAAGAGAGTTAACATTTCAAGTCTGATTTGTACCCCCGAAACCCCATGGATACCTGTCAATTTCCCAGAAAGTGCGAACTTAACTCCGCTATGATACTCGCTAACGCCGGGTCTGTCTTTAAAATGTAAGCCCATTCTTGCAATCAATAATACATCTCAAGAAAATGCATAACTTAGTCAGAAAATCAAGTCTGCATCAGAAAATAAGAAGTTTGAGTCAACAATTCAGTAAAGTCTTCCATTTTTTTGTCCACAGACCAAAACAAATCAAAAGATGTGTCTCCAACTACATGAAAGGAGAGTGCTGATAGGTTGGCGGTGGACTCTGATTGGTAGGGACGTGCCACACATTATTGCTGTTTAAACCAGATAGGTTCAGTGATTGGTCAGCATGTTGCCATGAAAGATGAGCCAACGAATGGCTGTCACCTATTTTGTTGAGTTGAAACAAGCGCAGAGTGTGTACATGGTCTTTCTGCCTCTGAAGAACGTGACTGTGTCACACTACCAGTTCAACTGACAATCCAAAACAATTGTGTTCCTTGGCTCATCCATCTACAGCTGCTTCATCAATGGCATTCCATCCATCATAAGGTCAGAAGTGGGGATGTTCACCGATGACTGCACAACGTTCAGCACCATTCGCAATTCCTCAGAGGTGAGACAGTCCACGTTCAAAGACAGCAAGCTCTGGGCAATATCCAGGCTTAGGCTGACAAGTGGCAAGTAACATTTGTGTCACACAATTGCCAAGCTATGACTAACTCAATGAGAGAATCTAATCATTACCTCTTGATTTTAAGTGTTGCATTTATACTCCACAAATAAATAAAAAACAAAAGCATGTGTAATAAGTGTGATACCAGCTGCCTAAATAAAATTCTGACATCCTGAATAAAAACTATTGTAACACGATTCAGCGACACCCGGTTTTCAGGAACATTGGGTTTTCGCACTCTAATCTTTGTGTTAAAAAATAGTCATGAGAAGAGAGATGTACAGGCTCTGTCGAAGCTGCTTTCTGTTTAGTAGTATTTGAATCTTCTTTTATAGATGTCTTACTTCCGCTCTAAATATTGACTTCCATTTCTAACATCGCACTGGTGTTCTTTTTTTATTTCTGCTTGGTCATAAGTGTGAAAACGTCTGATTGCAGCCAGTTGTTAAAGCAGCAAATTATACTTTTAGAGCAACAGCATTTTCACTTTATCATGAATTGTCAATCTTCTGTGCATTCTACGTCATACACCATTGAGTTCATATCATAGTTATTGTGATATACGGCCCATTAGTGGCAATACTAAACTTCACTGTTATCATTGTTCTTAACACAGTTAGCGTTCAATTTTACCGACTGTCATGTATCCTGTAGACTGCATGTTGATGAATGTGTTAAAATTATCCAACCTATCAAAAATTAAGGTATTGGTGGATGAGGTTTATGAACTGCATAAAAGTCTGGCGATATTGTTTGCTGGGGGGATGGAACCAGATCGAGCAACTCCCTGCAGAAAGCAGGGCTATGTTGTCACCCTGCTCTAAACCCATCTTTAGATCTCCTTATATTTAAAAAGCAACCAGTTTCTATTCTACTCTTAAAGTCTCTCCCAGTCTTCTCTGCAACTTAGCTTCTCTTCTTTAAAGCTTCATCCCACCTCCTGCCAATTTAGTTTAATCCTTCTTCCTCTTAGATTTGGCCAACCACTGTGCCCCTTGCCAATCTGCTCCTCTGCTCTCTCTTCCATTCATCAAAGTTGAGGGGAATGTGTGCCTGGGGGAGTGGAGCAGCTGGATTCAGTATGAGGTTTCAAAAGGGAGCTAAATATATATTTGAAAGTGATGAATTTAGAGGGCTACAGAGATAGGGCTGGAGAGTGGGACAGGCTGAGTAGCTCTTTTGGGAGCTAGTACAGATACAATGGATCAAATAGCCTCCTTCTGTACCGCAAAATCCTATGGTTCTATGACTCCTTGTGAAAGTACACTTCTGGTACTGCTGATCCAGTGCTGAATGCAAACATCCATCACTAAATTGCCTAAAGTTACAACAAAACTGTGGTAGGCTATTCGACTGCAGAGGCATCACTGTGGAGACTAATCTCAGGTTCATCCGTTGTATACCATCAGATAGATATCTGACATGGGAGCTTGCAACATCCCATTGCATTATTGAGGAATTAGCACACATCAAACTTAAAAAATGTCGTTAAATAACAGAAAAACTGAGAAATAGAGTGAGGCTTCTGCCAAAGGAGCAACCATAGGGCTGTGTACTTCAGAAAACAACTATGAGGAGTCCTGTCACCTAACCAGGCAAGACCAAGAGGAATTAGTTGACGTTTGTAGCCACCAGGGAAAAGCAAAGGAATAGACCATGGAAACACTTTTGCAACATTGAGGCATCAGGAATATGAGGAAATTAGGTCTTTTTAAACAAAACTATCTTAACTGGCCTAATTCTGATCAGTCCATTCCTAACTAGTTTCAAAACTGAGATTAGATTAACCCATCAATCGGAGAGGTTCCAGTCTCATAAGCCAATCAAAGAAGTCACTGTTACCTTTGACCGATGAACTTCTCCATCATCGTCCTTTCCACCGACACCAAGGATCTTCCTGGTCTTTAGCCGGCTCACCAGGTCGGTTTGACTGTGCTTCTTCACCAGAGGAGGTTGTGGTTTGGCAGCCATGTTTCCCAGCTGGTCAGATACTGAAATGGAAAACAGGAAAACGTTATGAGAGAGAGAGAGAGAGCTGCACACACATACTGCCAAGTACCAGCTTCGATATCAACCATAACTCAGCTGATAATACACTCTCTCCTCCTGTTCTACAAGGCCTCAGTTCCAGTCTCATTCCGAGGCCTGAGTATCAAAGTGAACTTTCCAGTGCAATACTGAGGGAGCACTGCCCTGTCTTTCAGATGAAATGTTAAACGGAGGCCCCTAATGCTTGCTGAGATAAATGTGACAGATCCCACAGTTTTAAGGAACAGCAAGGGTGTTATCCCTATCATCCTGGTCAAAATTATCCTGCCAACCAACATCATGGAAAGAAGCTGGTTATCATCCCTTGCTGTTTGTGGGCATTTGCTGAGCTCCTACTGATGCCACATTTCCTGCAAGGGCTAGATTTCAAAATAGGTACTTTCAGATATCTAGTGATCATGACATGCACTTTTTTTTTAAAATGGATGTCTTGCTTTCCTCTCCTTTCAGGGAACCCATTTGTAGTCACATTACTGATTGCACAAATCTACAAATACAAACTGACTGAGGCATATCGCACATTGCAACAATGACTGTACTTCAGTGGTTGTAATCTGCTTTCTCTCTTTAATATAATTAACCACAAGCAAGAGTGCTCCAATCAGGACCACTTTATGTTAGTGGTAATCTATTGAATTATCATCATTTTGAGGAAGCAGGTAATAACTATCTTGTGATTACAGCTCTGATGAGGAAATTCCCATTTAATATTGCATCACATTATTGGATATCTTGTCATTTTTTTCTTTAAAAAACCCTCATTTTCTGCAAGAACTTCAAGAGGTTATTAGTAATATAATTCGAAGATATTCTTGTACACAGTGTTGGGAAGTCTGACGATTAGTGTCCATCCCTAACTGCTCTGGCACTTTGTTGCTTGCTATGCCATTTCAGGGGGCATTTAAGAGTCACCTTGCCATGGGTTTGGAGTTACATGTAGGTCAGACCAGGTAAGAATGTCAGATTTCCTTCCTCAAAGGACAGCAGTGAACCAAATTGGATTTTACTATGTTCGCCAATAGTTTCATAGTCACCTTTAGACTATTTTTATGTTCCATAAGAATGCATTGAATTTAAGGATTTCAACTTGTGTGACCTTAGTGCATTAGACTGCATTGTGTATTATTCGTCCAGTTAATACAATTTCACTACCTACCCCATAGGTATAGAATTATTCAAAGGAGCACCTTATATGACTATTGAGCAAGTTATGGAGTCGTAGCAAGAGGCTTGCAACTAGTAAATGCTTCTCCATAACAAAGAATCAGAAATATATGATAAGATACCAGGACACAAGAGTAAACAAGGATTCTGGGATGAAGGAGTATCCATGATGAATAGGTGAAAATGGGCTGATTGGCCTCCCCAACTATCTTGCTGTTTACAACATGACAGCAGTGCAAGCAGCAGGACATTCGCATGTTCAGACAGCACTTAGAAATTGAACACTTTACTCAATCTACTAGAATTTGATCAGATTTCAAAGGGGCGTGGTGGTGGGGGCTTGGGATTTGTCAGTGCCTTCAAGTTTGCCATTGTCAGTTTCAGACTCAAGGTAGTGTAAGGGACCCCCTCTTCCTCTTACAGAAAATAAGAAGCTACGAAAATCCACCTTTGGTGACCCTTCCAATATTTCCGTGTTTTTGTTTGTCATTTCCTCTCCTGACGGCAAGGAGCTCACTGGACATAGGTCCACAGGCACCAGGAGTCTAAATCCAAGTGTTCCAAGTATTCATGAGATTCAGGGAGTCATATATAGAGGAACAAGATGTGCTGGCTATAAAATTCAGAACTTTAACATCACATTGAGCCAGAAAGTGGGAATCTGAAACTCCCTCTCTCAAAGAATTTTGGTTACTGGGACACTTGGAGCTTTTAAGACTATGATCAATGTATATTTATTGGGAAAGGGCCACAGGCAAGGAGCAAAGGTGAGAAAATCAGCAAGAAATGTAGCTTAATCATGATCTAACTGAATGATAGTGGATAAATCTGAATCGATATAGTCATTTGTACCGAAGTGGATAATGTTGCCACATTTTTGGATTACAGAATAAATTACTGAATAAATTGAATAACTGGTAAAATACTGAATAAATTAATATTAAGTGGATATTACTAAAACTTAAACAGCTTCAAAAGTTCATCATTCCCTCGCCATAGACTTCATCCTGTCTGCTCCTCCAGTCGCTGCTTTCTGACATCATCCTCGGGCTCATGGCAATGTGTTCCTTTCCTGCCACTACGGGAACCATGGCTTCCACCGAGCTGCACAGATCCTGCACCTCCTCCAATGCTGGACATCGACTGATGGCTCCTGGCTCCAAGTCGACCGTTAGGCTCGTCTTCCAGTGATGCCACCCATTGAGCAGCCTGGAGGTGCTGAATGGTTTATTCTTGTTCTTATGTTATCCTCTGAAACTTAAAAGACACTATTCTTCACACTATGTTTATGACCAGGGTGTCAGTAGCCTACAAGACTATTCACAACACAGCCTTGTGGCCTTGCATCCAGTCTCATAAAAGACCTCCATACAGAGGCTGCTGGGTAAAACTCCAAAACAAGGAGGCAAATTGAATATATTTTCTTTCTGTAGCCCGTAGTCATCACCCGATGCACTGGTTCAGGTAGTTAATTTAACACAGAGCAGGATCAAACCAGGAATCTGCTAATCTGCATGACTTTTGATACTAAAGATAGTTCTTTAACTCATTCAACCTCGAGAGGATTCTACAACTCGTTCATGAAGTCAATTAGTTGCTGTTTGAAAAGACACAGAATACGGAAGGCATGTCACTGTGAAATGTGACCATCATTCAACTCCCAACACACTTGATCCAATACCAACACTGCAATCTTACATCTGCCTGTATGATACAGAGAGTTAAAAATGATGGCCTCATATTCAAAACCACAGGCCAAACAAAGGAATAGCTCCTTGTTAAGTATTTATGTGACCAGAACTAATCCCGCGCAATTTCCACAAGGCATTTCTTACTGACTACTGTATATTCAAAGGTCAAATATTCAGGGTTCTGGACATATTCGTGGACATAGTCGCCTACCTACTCTCATCTCCAGAAGTCAGACCACATCAGCTTGTAGTCTAATGGGTTTATTTGAAATCACAAGCTTTCAAAGCATTGCCCCTTTCTCAGGCAAAATGTCACTTCACCTGACAAAGGAGCAGCACTTTTTCTGAAGAAGGGTCTAGGCCCGAAACATCAGCTTGCCTACTCTTCTGATGCTGCTTGGCCTGCTGTGTTCATCCAGCTCTACACCTTGTTATCTCAGATTCTACTACTATCTAGTTCCTACTATCTCTGATTTCAAATAAACCTGTTTGACTATAACCTGGTGTCGAGTGACTTCTGACCTTGTCCACCCCAGTCCAACTCCAGCACCTCCACATCATCACATTCATCTCAATCTTGATTGATAACATTCTGTTTGTCAGAGTCCAGCCCAGAGTGAGGGAAGTCAATCGAGAATAGTCATTCACTTCCATGTTGTGGGGGCAGATTATCCTGTTGTTTTTTACATTACAATAGTAATTACACTTCATAGAATACATTATTAGGTCTGAAGTGCATTAATATATCCCTGTGGATATGAAAGAGGTTGTGTAAATGCAAGTTTGTGATTTCTTTCACATGATCTCATTTTCCAGCAAAATAATTTTCTTAGTGTCGTTTAGATTTCAGTAAAGGTTTTACTTGAAGACTTAAACTCATCGAAAATTCTGGACATTTGCTTGATACTTTTATCCAGAAACTTGATTGTCGGCAGGAAATCAAAAGCTGCAGGCTAGCCCCAGACAATCTGCTCCATTTTCCAGGCTACATCAGCAGCGTTTCAACCCAGCTAAGTATTCCTTCTACTAATTCTTAGTTACTGAAAACAATAACAAAGACCTTAACACTTTATCTGCAAACAAAAACAAAACGAGCTGGAGTTTTATTTTGGAAATAGTTAGTAAAAAAAAATTGAAAACTGATTAAGAAGTCTATTATTGCTTTAGTTTGTAGGCAGTTTATAAACCGCAGAAGGCTGAGAGATTAAGACAAACAGTGCTCACGTTTCAATAAACAAAAGAAATTAGGTGCAAAAGGTTAATTGAATTATTACTCATACTTTGCTATAGCTATTGAATGTGTTCATTGTAATTACTAACAATGGGAAGGAAATCCACTTGTATGCACTTCTAACAATCAACATAATTGTACTTACTAAATTTATACTTGCAGATAGGTAAAAAGCCATACTGTTAGACCTGGTAGCACCCCCTACTGTGCTGTTAGCCTCCAGGTACGTTACCTCTCTGCTTTCTTCATTTTGAATCGATTTTGGTGCTGGACTTACATGTCAGAGGTAGGAATCATGCCATCTCAAGACCAATGTACATCAGGATCTCCAAGAGGTCTGGGGTCTAACCAGTAATGAAGCCAGGCTGTGGGGTATGAAACATTAACTTTCACTCCCAAAAAGCCTCAGCTCAAAGCCTAGCTGACCATTTACACTTGAAAAATGATTAGGCAGTTGGATTACAGTCAAGAGCCCATCAAACACCCCAAATAAATAACCAGACCTTAGATCTGCTTTTTCAACTGATGACTTGACTGAATACATAAAAACAATGGATAAATATTAGATATTGCTATAAGTAGGCCAACCTTTTAACAGTGTGAAACACACACTAATTCTTTATCCATTATGGGAACTTCTGTTAACCTCTTCTGAAGATGTGCCCGTGTTTATAATGTTGAATTTTGCCAGGAGGAAGAAATAAGAATCAGACAAACAGATTGTTTCCTGGGTAGTTAGCTACATTCTCCATTCATAACACTGTCATGACTCACAGATACAGCTCATGTCACAGCACTTAATGATGAACTGTAAAGGAGGAAAAAACATTTTATTTACTTTGAAACTCTTCCCGCC